TGTGGGGCTCGATCTCAGGACCCTGGGATCATGACCAGAGCCAAAGGTGGACACTTCAATGTCTGAGCCACGTATATTTAGAAAGCGTCTCCTGGCGTGCTACTGAGCCCTGACTATCTGAGCATCTGACCATGGGGCAAATGACTGTAACTCCAACTGTCCATTATGAATTGGGCAATATCAGATCCACCAGCTCTTAAGTGGGGGCCTAGCAGCAGTCTTTTAAAATGGAAACAGGAAACAGTACATCCAAAATTGAATATGAGCAGGCCCAGAGGACACACGTGAGCTGCATGAACAGATGGCCCAGATCCTCATTTCTCCTACTAATGTTGCACCACGGCCTCTTCCTTCATCCCTGGGAAGTTCCCTTGACTAGATAACAGAGGAGGAAAACCCTGAGTGATTGAAGGCTGATAGGCTTGGTCTGCGGATGCAAGAGGGAAACGGACTGTTACTTCCCTGCAGACCTACTCAGGGTGAGAGTAATCTTCCCAATGGGCACAGTTGAGGCCCGTGTTCCTAGTCATTTATGTTGTGGGGGAGAGAACTGGCTCAAGAGGAGGATGTACAGGGACAAAGGCAGTAGCAAACAGCTTAGCTGGCTGGTCAGGGGCCTGGAAGGAGCAAGCTTGAAAGACTGGGGTGGACCCCTAAGGTAGTCAGGGCAGATTGTAAGGACCTTTGAATCATATGCTAATGATCCCCAAAGAATGTTCAGTACAGGTGGAAAGAAGAGTTAGAAACAAGGGCGTCAGTGTCGGAGAGACCTGGGCTCCAATCCTCAACTCTACCCCGACTGGCTGTGAGCCCCTGGGCAAGGGGCTTAACCCTCCTGAGTTTCATCATCCCCCCCATCAAAAGGATGTTTTTGTTACAGGATTTCTTTTCCTTCAGCGCCCTCGTTTCTTCGTCACACCGCATCAAAGAATGAAGAGGTAGACCAGACAGAGTGGTGGGCAGCAAAGCAAGGTTTATTGAGTGATAGTAAAGCAAGGTTTATTGAGTGATTGTACAAAGATCCCAAAGAGGGAGGGGACCCGAGAGGGTTTCTGATTTGGTGTTTAGATCTAGGGGTTTTTATGGGCTTGTTGGCAGGCTGTTTTAATCTGATTAACGCTCCCTGTGCCTGTCACCCAGTTAGGTTTTTGTCATCTACCTATCATGGGGGAAAGGGTGGAAGGCTCCTTTCAGGTGGTGTAAAATCCTTTTAAGGGTGGTTTCCTCTTAGGGTGGGGGGCTTGTCCCTGCCTGCCTTTCTTCCAACTATCCTTCATCATTTTGAGAATTAAATGATGTGCATGAAGGGCATGCTGAGAATACTCAATAAGAGGCGATAATTGTTACTATTTCATTCAATATGCTCAACAATCCTAAGAAATAAGCACCAATAGCCAAGTTTATCAGGTAAGAAACCGGCCCAAGGAATTTAAGTGACTTAACCAAATTTTTAGTTTACCGAGTGTCAGAAATGGAATTTAAATTAAGATTTCTTGGGGTGCCTGGGTGGCTCAGCCAGCTAAGCCTCTGCCTTCGGCTCAGGTCATGATCTCAGGGTCCTGGGATCAAGCCCAGGGCTCCCTGCTCAGCAGGGAGCCTGCTTCTCCCTCTGCCTGCTGCTCCCCCTGCTTGTTCCCTCTCTCTCTCTGACAAATAAATAAAATAAAATCTTTAAAAAAAATGAAAAAAAAAATTTAAGATTTCTTTGGCTTCCAAGCCCATGGGTGGCTTTAACACTCTGCGCTGGAGGAATTGCACTTAGAAGTGAGATACAAGACAAGAGCTTGCTATTGGATGAATTCTCTCTTTCCTTTATGACAATTCTAAAGTGAAAGATTATTCTCCCTATTTTACAGATGAACACCCCTGTGGTCAGAGACATTGCATGACCCGACTAAGGCCATGTAACTTGTAAAGGGATGAGGCCGGTACTTGAGCTTTCTTTGTACTACTTACATGTTCTTTTACTGGGAGCAGGATTGGTGATAAGATTCATTTTAGGAAAACTCTATGGGGAGAAACTAAGAAAACTGTAATTTCATCAGGGCTTGGAGTTCAAGAACGGTTTTAGCCTAGTGGACCTCCTTCCTAGTGCAAAAGACCTTCTTTACCAAGACTAATAAGTTATTAATAGGGCTATAGCCTGAAGTAGAACAGAAGTGTCCTCTATACAATTTGAACTCTCTTCTTCCTTGGTATTTACCTAACTTGTAAAGTTTATGATCAGTGATGCCCAACTGTATCAAAAGTTCATGTGTTTTAAGCAGTGAGTTAAGTGCACAGTACAAGAATGGTCAGTGTGGAAAGTTCTGGCAGATATACACTACAGGAAATGTTTAGAAGGTCACTGTATGCTGTGGGAGTCCGCTTATTGGAAGGGGGGGCTAGCAAATTAGAACCAGAGCAGGGGGATTGTGGGAACCCCAAGTTAATAGTTGGATGGTCAGAGGTACTGGAGGCCCCAACTTTTGATTGGTGTCTGAAGTGGGGAGCAGTCTTGTGGGACTGAGCCCTTAACCTTTGGGGTCTGCATTAACCCTGAGGAGTTAGTATTGAATTGAGTTATACTGGAGGACACCCCGTTGGTGTCCACAGAGCATTGGAGAGTTGCTTGGTGTGGAAAACTCACAAATGTGGTGGGTGTCAGAAGTATTTTGGGTAAAAAAGAGTGAATACCCTCAGATTCCACAGTTTCTATCCTTTCCGTTAGGTCCCACCTTCACCCCCAAGAAAGGCCAAAGGCTAGAAGGTGAAATAGTGAGAAAAAAAAACAAACCCAGATGATTCATTCAAGTCAGTTAATCTTTATGCAACATCTGCTGTATTCAAATACATAGAATTCTGTTCTTCAGTTCTAGGAGTTACAGAGATGCAAAGATAAACTATTTAAATAGTCCCTGCTATCAAAACTCAGCTCTAGGTTCAGGGTTTTTCCCCTGGTCTCTGACACCAAGAAACTTAAAAACTTGTTGGAGTGGGAAAAAAAAAATTGAGATCTTTTATTCTAGCAATCTTGTTTTAAAGATAAAAATGAGGCCTGAGATTATAGAGATAATTGGCAGAGCTGGCTTTTGTATTGGTGTTTCCCTCTGCTGTTTATCATAATTTTCTGCAGCAATTTTAGCACATCTTAAATATTTCAATATTTCTGAACAATACTGGAGAGTTTGTGAGGCTGATTTAGGAAAGGAGTTCAGGCGCTGTGAATTGTGTAAGACTGTTGAATCACAGACCTGTACCTCTGAAACAAATAATACATTATATGTTAAAAAAAAAAAAAGATAGCAGGAGGGGAAAAATGAAGGGGGGGAATCAGAGGGGGAGATGAACCATGAGAGACTATGGACTCTGAGAAACAAACTGAGGGTTCTAGAGGGGAGGGGGGTGGGGGATGTGTTAGCCTGGTGGTGGGTATTAAAGAGGGCATGTACTGAATGGAGCACTGGGTGTTATATGCAAACAATGAATCATGGAACACTACATCAGAAACTAATGATGTAATGTATGGTGATTAACGTAACAATAATAAAAAGAAAGGAGCTCAGGAACTTTTGATTCACAAAGAAATGGGGGGGGTGGATAATTTAGTTGTATTGAAGCTATGCATCCCAAATCTAGATGTCCATTATTATTACACTGTAAATTTTGTGAGGACAGGAATCTTCTATTTAAAAAAAGAAAAATCACCCCCCATCATGCCTTGTTGAGTAAACAAATAAAATACATAAACATGCGTGAATGACTTATGAGTGGCTATGTGTGTGACAAGCGGCTATGTTTATTATTTTTAAGATTTTTTATTCTGTGAATCTTTGTTGAAGGCCAATAGGAGGAAGGTGCAGTGTAGGAAATGAAAAGAGGTTTAATCACAGTCCTCACCATTAAGGAGCTTTAGAGTCTAGTAGGTTAGGGGGGAGATACACCACAGTAGAAAGTGATGAAGAACGTGGGAAACAAAGGCAAAAGAAAAATTGTTAAATTTCCATACTATCTACAGCCTATTGGCAAGTACTTGAAAGAGGCAGAGTGACATTCCTCTAGGGACTCAGCTTCCTCGATATTAATACTTTGCTAAGGGCAAAAGGAAATCTTAGCCCTTCCTCCAGGATCCTGTAAGTCTACTTTAAAAAAATAAAAATGTCTTTGGAAATTTCCTTTTTCTCTAAATCCCCTAAGATACTGTTGGCAATCATCCCCCAAGCATATGGCCCACCCATATATATCTGAAGGGTCTCATGACTAAGGTTTTATTAGATGGTAATAAATGACCTTTTCCTAACAATAGCTAGTCCCCTCAAGGTCCTGGAAACCTTATTTCCAAAATTCTTTAGAGATTTACCCTATCCTTACACCCCCCCCACCCCCCACCTTGTAGGTATATAGTCACCACCCCTCATGACCCCATTGTAGCTCTTTCTGCCCAGGTCCAGTCCCTGTGTTTTAATAAAATCACCTCTTTGTACCAAAGACATCAAGAATTCTTTCTTGGCAGTCGGCTTGGAACCCTAAGGTCTTTCCTACATCAATGAACACTTTTCACAAGGGGTGTGATGTAAGGGATGTGGGTACTCAGAGGAGGGGAATTTTCTCTAGGAGTGGGGAAATACTGTGCCTGCTAGGGAGAACTTGGTATGCGCATCAGGAACCTGACTTCTACAACTGGTTCTACTACTGATTTGCCCCGGGACCTCGGGCTATAAATTAGGCTTATAAATTAAATTCCCCAGATTTCTCTTTTCCACTCTGAAACTCTAAGGGTCGGCTGGACGATTAGGTTCCCTGGGACAATGCCCTCCTCGGTTTCTTACTGCTACTGTTTCTCGCCTCTACACTGCCCCGGCCCCACGAGGCCAGACGGGGAACTGAGCGGGGGCCCTTTAAGGGAGCCCGCGACCACGGGCGCCCGGGGTGCCCCCGGCTGGGGAGCAGGGGCGGGGCGCCAGGGACCCGGGCTTCCCACGCAGCCGGGGACGCCGCCGCGTCACGGCGCTCGCAGCCAATCAGGATGGAGCCTGCCGGGACGCATTACTAGGGCGACGGGCCGGACGCCTCCCGCTTCGCGATGAATTAGCGGCGGGTTTTGCTCGGAGGTTGTGCCCCCTACGGATTCTCCAGTTCGTCCACGCGACCCCCACGGCGACGCGCGACGTCCTCTGCTGGTCACAGGTGGGAGGCCGGGAACTGTCAGGTGGGGGGTTTAGCGCCGGTAAAATGGCGGCGGCGGCCGGGGGATCCCCGAGTTGGCGGAGGGGGAACAGTCCCACGGACTCTTTCCCCTGAGCCACGGGCCTCCCCTGGCTGCGGCCCTGGTAACGGTCACTTGGCCAGGAATTGGAGGCCCGATGCAGGTGGCGGCGTCGCTGGCTCAGGTGAGGGGAGGCGCGGGGAAGCGATTCCCAGAGGCAGGCGAAAGCGTTGGGGGCTGCGGGGCCGCGCGGGCCGGCCCCGCGAGGGAGGAGAGGGCGAGGCGGTTGCGGGGCTTGGCGGGCCAGGTAGTATAGATTAGTATCAAGACCTTCCTTCTCCAGACCTGGACGGGTCCGGGAGCTGCCTCGCCCCGAACATAGTTCTGTTTCTGCCTCTGTTAAATCATATGTGCAAAACGTCCCAAAGTGTTCGCCACGTGCGAGACTTGGACTTGGGCTCTCGAGCCCTAATCTGTGTATCCTTCAGGCTCCAGATGCCTGCCCACAGGTGCCAGAGTGGCAGTGCCACGAAAGGAAAGGTAGGCCCCAGCCAGAAGCTGATGTCAAGTCTGATCGTTATAGGTGTATCTTAGCTTCTACCTGCTCACTGAAGAGAACAAAAGGGTATTTGAGTGCCTGAGAGACGTTTTCCTTCCTTGTACTTAACTTGCTTCAGATGGGTTCCCTGGAATATTGTCTCTGCCTTCGAAGCTCATTAATTGTATTCGTGTGCACGTGGCTGTAGATAAGGCTGAGGCTTGGGATTCCGTTTAAGCCTAGGGAAGTAATGAAAAATATGGTGAAGGCCTTTTAGAGATGAAATATTGTCTATTCATGTTGCTTATTTGGGCAAACATATGTCATAAAATATACTTAGTTTTCAAAAAGTGTCTTAATGAAAGTTCTTTTTGCAAAACTTGATTTTTGAGAGTAAAAGAAAATGATTTTATAAAAGTTATTTTTTAAAATTTCTGTTGCCACATTGTGCTTTGATGTGACGGATAAGCATAATATCAAGTGACTTTTTATTTGATAGGCTTGATTTTGTGGAGTGCCTTGTTCTTTCATTGAGAAAGCACAGTAGCACTTTGTGTTTCAGTCATCAGTAGTTCCTGTCTTTGGAGTGCTCACTGTGTGTCAGGTATTGTGAAAGTGAGGCATCTCCTACCTTTTAATCGGAGCAAATGGGTTAGTTCATCTGCCCTCACCAGGTGTTTAGGCTGGCTGTTCACCACCAAGAGGAAACAATGGGGGGAAACCCAAAAGACTTTCTTCCAGACTGCTACCTGGAGATTTGGTCAGTTTGACCAGGCACTGGGGTAGGTGGCGTTTCTAGTTCCTACTCTGCCATTTAAAATATGTTAGGGAAATCATATAACCTCTTTGTCAGTATCTTATCTCTGAAATGGGCAAAGCAATTCTTGTCCAAATAATCTCATTGTACTTCTGTGAGGAAGAAAACCAAGACAGTATATATGAAAGGGTTTACAAAGGTGAAAAATACAGGGATAACAGTTGACATTTCTTACTGTACGGTTACTTAGCCAAGGACATTGTGTGTGCTGACTTAGTCACCTAGCAACTTGGTGAAGTGAGTACTTTCTCATCTTTTGTTTTATTGATGAGGAAACTGAGGCACCAAATCGAACAACTGTGTTCTTAACCACCGTGCATACCATTTTCCTATATCATACAGATTTGTTATGTGTTAAGGGGGATATATAGGAACACATTTTTCAATGAAGTATTTCGTTTGTGATCCTTTGGTTGTATTATGTAAGTAATAACCATGTTTCATTCCGTTGGCATCCAATAGTGATTTATATGGTGATGACTACAGTTACTTTGGTTAGGTGGTATATTCATTTTACTTTTAATGCCCTTTATTTTAAAAATTATTTCAAAACAAAGAGTTGATTAACTTCTAACAGGAAGCACAAATCAATAATTAAGGAAGATTTTGGTTTTTATTAAACTCTCAAAAAAATAACTTGCTGGGTGACTTTTGAAAGAAAACTTATGGTAGGTTCATTGCTTTGATGTATTTTTATAAAGTATTCAAATCTGTCTTTATAGAAAAAAAGGATATGAATAAAAGTGGCTAGGACATTCTTTTCTCTTTTTAATGCCTTTTTTTTTAAGATTTTATTTATTTATTTGACAGAAAGAGAGCACAAGTAGGCAGAGAGGCAGGCAGAGGGAGAGGGAGAAGCAGGCTACCTGCTGAGTAGGGAGCCTGACGTGGGGCTTCCTGGGATCATGACCCAAGCTGAAGGCAGCCACCTAACCGACTGAGCCACCCAGGCGCCCCTCATTCTTTCTTTGAGCCTTTATGGAATTGCCCTGCCAAGTCTTTGGTGTGTAAAGATTAATTCCTGACCTTATCCTCCAGGAAGTCCAGGAAGAAGTCCCAGGTCCAGAAGTTTGTAGACCAGTGAATGAGACAAACAAATAAATAATTAACTAATGCAGTCTGAGAAGGTTTCAGATACAGTTGTGGTGGGTACAGAGAGCTGTGGGAACACATACAAGGGAACAGTTGGTTTTGTTGGGGTGGACCTAGCCAAGATAGGAAGGGAGCTGACTGCAGGGTAAAGGAGAAAGTGCTTCCAGCCAAAGGAGTTAACAGTGGAGAGTCAGGGCGAGTGAGAGTGTATGGGTGTCCAGGGATGAGACCATAGTTTTGCAGAAGTTGCTGAGAGAGAACACAGGAAGGATTGTGAATTCTCAGCTGAGAGATTGACTTTATCTTGTGGGCAGTGGGACCTGTAGAAAGATCTTAATCAAATCAGTAATACAATCAACTTTATGTTCTGGAGAGAGATGACTAGTGACAGGGTGAAAGAATGTAAGGAGACTAGTTAAGGACAGTGTCCATACTCCAAACAAGAGGTGGTGAGGGAGTGAACCAGGGCATTCACTGGCAGAGCAGAGTTCAGAGTCCACCACACACATTTTGAAAGGAGAATGGAAGATTGATTAAGTGTGAAGAATAATAGGGTGGGAGAGGGGAACACTTGCTAAGCAAGTAAAGAATCAGGTGGTTTTTTTGCTTTGTTTTTTGGGAACAATATGGTTGCAGATTGGAGATATTGTTAATTTAAGAAAAGGATAGAGTAGAAAGTTCTTTGTTACTGGGTTTTGGGAGAATTGTAAACCCTTTGAGGTTATTGGGTCAATAAGATTTAATAGAACCAGGCTTATACCTTCCTGTAGGCTTCTGGTTTCGTAGACTCCAGAAAACTCAGTTATATTGTAAAAGTCAGCAGGGTCTAGTGAAAAGGTGACTCCACTGGAGCAAAGCCACTCAAAAGGAGTGGGAAGAATCATCTAATGTATGTTGGGGTAAGATGTTAGAATGACAGGTATTAGAGGATTTTTTTCATTTATTTTTACATTAGGTTTTTACCATACTCGTACAGAAGTCCATTATAATATGGAAGTAATCAAATGAATTCTCTAGTTGTAAAACTGATCTCCACTCAAACATTCAGAACACTAGAGTTGTCTAGCATCTGACAACATAACATGAATAAACGCATTCTAAATTGCAAGGTGAAACTGGAAGCCTTGCAGAGATGCAGGATTTCATGTGTTCAGAGCAAGGTTGAGAACTGTTCAAACCATAAGCCCAAGTCAAAGAACTAGTACTCTAGTACTACTAGAGTAAATTTCTTAAAAAGGACTCTGAAAGCTGGGCGCCTGGGTGGCTCAGTCGTTAAGCGTCTGCCTTCAGCTCAGGTCATGATCCCAGGGTCCTGGGATCGAGTCCCACATTGGGCTCCCCGCTCAGTGGGAAGCCTGCTTCTCCCTCTCCTACTCCCCCTGCTTGTGTTCCCTCTCTCACTGTGTCTCTATCTGTCAAATAAATAAATAAAATCTTTAAAAAAAAAAAAAAGGACTCTGAAAGCAATGACTGTAACAATGATTGATAAATTTGATGTCAGGGGTCTTCATTAAAATTGAGAACGTCTCTCCATCTAAAGATACCATTAAGAAAATGAATGGCAAAATACAGACTAGAAGAAATTTGCAATTCATATATCTGACCAAGGACTCCTACCCAGAATATATGTGTGTGTATGTTTGTATAAAATTAATAAGAAAAAGACAATTTAAAATATGTACAGAAGTTCTGGACACTTCCTACTAGAGGATCTCTGAATGGTCTGTATGCATATAAAAAGGTGTTCAACATTATTAGTCCCAAATGGAGACTCCCAATGGAGAAATGGAAATTAAAACAGTGAGCTGCTACTACACACCTTCCAGAATGGCTAAAATTAAAAAGATTGTTAATGCCAATATTGTGGAACAACTGAATCTCGTATATGTTGGTGGGAATGTACAATCATTTTGGAAAACTGTGGCTGTGTCTCGTCTTACCCATGATCCATCAATTCCATTCCTAGATATATACCTGAGAGGAAGGGATGTATATATCTACGAAAAAAAAAAAAAGGTAAAAGGATGTTCATATAACCTTTATTCATAGTAGCTAAAATTTAGATAAAACCTGAGGTACATTAGCAGCAGAATGGATGAGTAAATTGTGGTATATTTATAAAAGGAAACATTACAAAAGCAGTTAAAGAATGAAATACTGATATATCCACATGGAGGGGTTTCATAGACATAATGAGCCAGACAAAAGATTGCATACCACATGATTCCCTTTAAATGAAGTCCAAAAATAGGGTACAACTATTTCCTGGTGATAGAAGTCAGAATGGTGGTGCGTTTGGGAACCTTCTGGAGTGTTGGAAATGTCCCGTATGTTGAGTTGGGCGGTGGTTATTTGGGTGTATGTATATGTAAAAATTCAAGTTGCACACCTAATATTTATGTACTTTTGTTATACTTTAAAGGGGTGCTGGTGAGAATTTGTCAGTGTTAGGCCAATTAACTTTTGATGAGGAAACCCAGCAGGGATGATGATGAAAGGGAGATGCTTTATAAGAATTTAAAAAAGCGTGAGAG